ATATCCTCCAGTGGACTTTAATTTTAATGAAACTTTATCTGGTAAAATATCTGTGTAATATTCAATATTTAAAATATCTTTTCTCTGACTATCTATCTAAAATAACTTTTTATATTTGATATTTTTCTGAAATAAATGTATTGGGTGTTTTTCTGCAAAATATTAAGGATGTCCAGGCAACTGTTTTCTGCCTGTTTTGCCATTCCTGATGCCAATGTCTGAAATCATCTCTTTCCAGGGTTTGGTCAACAGCGTTAGACAGGGTAATCTATCTTTTTTTTAGGACAAATCTTGATCATAAATACACATTTGTGTTCTGACATGTTGTTGCCCATGTCTGTGCTGGGGAGCTCCTTCAATTTCCACCTCTGGCTCTGCATCCTGGCAGTATTTCATATTCATTTCAGGATGCAGCTCTGTTGTTTCCCATCCCTGCCACATCTCACTTGCGTTTCTGTTGGAAGCCCTTGAAATGCATTAGCCACCTCTCTAGTCTGAATGACAGGTTTGCAGGATTACACGAATGTTACAGGATGAACCTGACCCACCATCAAAAAAGTCATTCTACACTTGGAAGACATGGGCTCATCTCCATGACTCATAACTTATTATAGGAATATGCCAGTAAAAAAACTCAGATGAAATCATGGTCTGGCTCATACTCCTGGCGAAATCTGTGCTTTCTGCTCCAGGCGTTTGCTAGCAATTTGTAAACGTGTGAGTAGATTACCAATGAACTGCTGGCCAAAGCACTGCTGCGCTGCATTTCCATGGCGAACATCTTGTCTGCGGAAACGTCTGGAGGGGAAAAAATGGAATTGTTTAGCTTACAGATTCTTGGGTTATATGCTTAAGTGGCATTCATTAAAAAGGAATGTTAAAATACATAAGGAGCAAAATCTTGATTCCTAAAAATTCAGCATCATTGTGAGAAGTACTCATTTATGCATTGATATTTTCTCTCTACTCAACCTATTGGGAATCACATGTCTGTAAGAAAGAAACAATCTTATCTGGGCAAGAGTTGCAACTACATATCCAGTTTATACATAACTACACTGACATTATGAATACTAAAACAAGATCCTCTGAACCAGTCAGTCAACATTCGGTGTTGTGAAAGGTCAAAGGGACATTTAGCCTCTCTTTGGGTTCTGTCTCTCCGGAAGTTTTTAGTTTAGAACAGTTTGCCATGTATGTGCAGAGTTTTGGGCTTTGGGGTTTTTATATGCATTTACAGAAAAATAATGAAAAATGTAATTGCATGGTGCATTCCCAGAAGAATTGGGCTGTTATATGGCAATTTTTTTCTCTGGGTGTCCTTATAAATAAATTAAGATTGCTGACTAAGGAAACTAAAGAACCTACTGGAATGCCATATCTGGCCAGATGTAGTATTTCCAACAACCTGAAATTTAGTAGTACTAAGAATACCTTTCTTATATTTCCATAAAGAACAGTTTTACACAGTATTATCAATACCATACATAACAGATAACAGAAATAGGCAGTGCAGCAAATCTTACACAGCAGGTATGTGTACAGTATAAATCATATATGATAGAAACAAGCAAAGCTAAGCAGTTTTGTTATTCTTTTCATTTGCTGCTTAAATAATGCTTTTCTCCACCTTTATGTGAACACAAAAGGTAGAATTTTTACTTGGCACACATTTAATTTACTGAAATTATGTAGATTTATACTAGTTAAAGATCTTGCCCATGGATGTTACTCATCATATTTCTAAACTGGCAGTAGACAGTGATTGTTTTCTGAGTTCTGTCAGTTGTATGGAATTCTGATCCACTGGTGCTGGTGGACCAACAGGACAGCTTTAACCTTTACTGATATTCAGAGTAGCAGAGTCAATGTTTTGCTGTTGTTTCAGAAGAATCCGCAAATTCAGTGAGGACTACCTTGGGCCTTTCGGGCAGAAGCAGTAAGAGTACATGCATGTTATTAAAGGAAAACTGAGATTCTGAGATAGCAACAGGGCTTTATCGTGCCCTGGGAGTTCTCATTGTAATGGATGGATGCTGCAGCCTTGCTTACTGATAACTCTGCACAGTGTCAGTGCTGAATAATGCTGCCACCAGCTTTGCATACCTGTGCATACAGATTATTCAGAAGAGACATTCTCTTCCACAAAAATACATAAATACCATAGACATTAGACTTGAAAAAAAAAAAACAACAAGAAAACCCCACTGCTAGATAGTCAGGCCCAGTCACCCTATCTAGCAGGAACAGGACAGTTAGCAGCCATGTACTGTTTACTCTTCAGTTCCTGAACATTATTGTAGAGCTAAAAAAATCCTAGTTCTGTAAGACAGGATGTCTCTCCAGTTGTTAGAACCATTCAAGAAGAATAAATGTTTGTTTGACTGAATTTTGCTGTTGTGAGTGTGAAGACTATCAGTTCCTGAACATCACTGTAGAGCTAAAAAATTCCTAGTTCTGTAAGACAGGATATCTCTCCAGTTGTTAGAACCATTCAAGAAAAATAAATGTTTGTTTGGCTGAATTTTGCTGTTGTGAGTGTGAAGACTAAGGAGGAAACACTTGCCTGTGCCTTCATTTGCTACTTTTTTTAAAGAGAAGGAAAAAAATGGGGGACGAGACACTTACCTGTGCCTTCATTTACTACTTTTTTTAAAGAGAAGGAAAAAAATGGGGAGAGGTGCTTAAAGAGAGGGAGATGATGGGAAATAAACTTATTTCACAAATACTGACATAAGCCTGGCATTTGTTATTTTTTCTTAGTAATAATTTCATTCAGAATTCCATGAATAACAGTACCAGACAATTCCTGAGATAAACTACTATAAGGAGCGATTTTCAGTGACTATCAAATGAACTGGATACATGGAAGTGTCTTTTGTAATCTATAACTTCATGAATTTAAATTCAGATCTGTGACTCTGTACTTTCAGGAGCTTAGTAAAAATTATCTGCAAGAAAGCAATACAGTCGTCATCAGCAGCAGCGACAGAATTGTCTTCATGTTTCTTTATTTTTTTTTTCCCAGGGATAGGTGAGGCAAAGTCGAAATGGTTCAGGGAGAAAAGGCATCGTTGCAGTTTGTGTAAGTAAATCAGGAGGGTGAGTTTTGGTCTGCCAAACCAAATGTTACAACAGAGTGACATCTGGGTTAGCACTGGGATTTAACTGCAAGGCGAAGGCAGCTCCTCAGCCGCCACCCCACCCTGCCTTGCACCCTGCAGCCTGGGCACCGGATTGCATGTGGGCAGCAAGGAGGGCAGAGAGGCTTTGGGGGAGAAACCCACAGATCTGGGAAAAAAAAACATCTGTTTAAAGCTCCCTTGCTAGCCATAAGAGATGAAGCATGTTTTTGTGTGTTTGCTGGTGGAGTGGGTGGTGGAGAAAGAGGCCAGAGAGTGAGGGGAGGCAGGAGGGTGACTGTCAGCTTCTTAAAATCATCTGAAGAATCACAGGTTACCAGACCTACCCAAGACGGAAGACATTTCAAAATTACTTCAGCCCTTTTTCACCCCGGACAGTGAGCTGGCACAGCAAAGAATCTCGCTTGTAGAATTTAGTGCTTGTTTAGATAAAAATGGAACCTGCCTAAATCAGATTGCAGAGGTAATTGTGAACTAAAGCATTTCTTTACATCCCAGACCTCTCCACTTTGTCAAGAGAACTTCATGGAAGTTGAATGCAATATAATTTCCTTCTGACATTTGAAGTATTTGCAGTATGTAGGAGTCAAACACCTGTAACTGTTATGACACTGTAGTGTGCTGCACTGCCAACATGAAGATTTGGGATTTTGGGCTCAGTTTCTATTTGTCCTTAATTAAATCCTATATCTAATTAATTATCCAGGCTGTGAATTTACAAGGAATTATAATATAAGCTTTCACAATTCAACAAATTAGTAGCAGCTGTCAAGCAGAAGATTTTGTATCTATGCTGCAGTTCTCTCTGTATCCTGTACATGACTTAGTTTACAGTTTTTCTATTTCATGTTTCTCTAAACACTTGTTATACCTTGGAGGCATTAGGATCTAAAGCAGAGAGCATTTGAATCACAGTGGAGAGGACATAATTGTACATCCCTGCTTCGGTTCAACTCTTCACCAGCAGGTCTGTAGTTATAACCACAGCTCTGAGCACTGCTCTTACTGCACTAGCAGAGCTGCTCTTACACATCAAAAGGCCACCTGAATGTACTGTATGAGGGGCACATTTGAGCAGATAGAGGTGGTATTAAAGCCAGCCCAAGTGTGCTGTAATGCAGGGCACAGCTCCATGAGTCCCGATGAAGGGGGTTCTGCCAGGAGCAGGGGAAACAAGCACTGCTCAGTGCTCCTTGTACTCATGTTACTTGTACTACCCCGTACAGCTTGAGCAGAAATCTGGAGCCCTGAGACAAGGCCATATTAAGATGTGCATGCTCAGGGATGTGGCATTAATTGTGCCTGGAGCACAAGGTGGCTGTGGCAGGGTTATCACCTGCTCAGAGTTACTCCGTATCGGAAAACTCCATGTTGACTACTGAGACCTGCCTGTTCCAGCAGTGCTCTCCACCTGGAGCCCAGCAGGAGGCAACTTAAAACAGCTTCCGAACACACATCCTGAGTAGCCCTCCCTGCCTCTCCATGTGCCACACTGTTAGTAAGCTCCTAAATTTAAAATGCTCTGAGGTTCAGATATGAGCTCAAGTGAACAAAGCGAATGCCGACCATCCCTCCCAACAGTATTGGCTCGTGCTGGCTGTTCCCCAATCTCTTGGAAGTAAAACAAGTTTTGCAGACTTCAAGAACATTCAATTGAGTGCAAATCCCTTCTCCACTGCTGCAGTGCTTATCTTAAGAGAAGGAGGGTGATAACAGCAGTATTTTCTTCTTTTAGAGACTGTCCTGAAAAAGAAGAAAGGCACAGGAAGGTGCCTGGGGTGCTGCCCATATCACTCAATCCTGGATGAATGTCTGTGTCAGGGGACTTAAGGGCTGCTACTCTGGAAGTTGTCTTAGGTGAGAAATATGCTAAAAATGTACAACTGAGTTCAGGACAGAGTGAGTTTCTCTTATCTTTTCTTAGACAATATGTAGCCTGCAGAACAATGTAAATGCCGATACAGTACTAGCAGGATGGTAGGAAACTTTTTAAACCCCTGCCCCTTCCCCAAGTGATTTTTACTTCATTAGATGAGTAACCTATTTGCTTTATAATTACAATAATACAATTTCTACTTCTACTGTAAGAAATTAATCTCCCTAGTGCACTATATAGCTGCTCATCTTTCTTAATCTAGGGCCTGAGAATTTTAGCCAGGCTCTTCTCACATTGAGCAGACAACCAGAGCCCAATTTCTCCCTTTTAGGCCTTGCAAGGCTGGCAAAAGGCAGGAGAAGATTATGCAATGTTGCTTGTAAAAGTGCTGTAGATTTCCTACCTGGCTTAACCTATGCCTTAGTGTAGTAAGTCCAAGAGATTCTTAATTCTGAGTCATTGGCTGTGTTACTGATTTTTACTTTTTAATGTGCCTTACCCAAAAAAGTTGTGTTTTCCAATGTAACATGACTGTGTTCATGATCTTTTAGAAAAATCCACAGAAATGTCTGTTGTGCCTGGCTGTGATCTGCAGTGCATTTTTCTGTGTATTCGGGGTCATGGAAAGATAAGGTGTGCAGGACAGAAAAATGAATTAAAAAAACCCCACAGTCCTGGTTTTCCTTAAGAAATAATGATCAATTTAGGATGGTATGACTTGGTTTTGACCATCTCCACTGGTTTTCAAAACTTTCTCCAAAAGTTACTCAATTCACTCTCATCCTTGCAGTCCATTGAAGCCTAATATATATAAACATATATTTGTAGGAACAGTAATTATAACAAAGCCACAGAAAGGATTTGAATTTTACATTACTGAGGTTTTACTGACTAAGGCTAGTGTCTTAAAGTCTTGTGGAAAGGTCTGGATTAAAATGTGCATATTCTAGATGCATGATCAAATATCTGTATAGCTAAAACAGAGAACGGGTTTGAGGGAGAAAGGAAGGGGACAGGTATATGGGAAATTATTGCACAAGAGTCATGAACAAGTGAATGGTGACGCAGAGGACAAGTGTCCCCAAGGGAAGAATTAGAGCACTCAAATTAGGCTTGTGCTTTAAACTGGCCTCTGGAGTAACTTGTCTTTATAAATTCACTGGAGAAAGCCTAAGCCTAGCCTTAGCTTTTGCAGCTAGTCTGGTTTCATTTTGGCTGGTGAAGGTGTTTGACTATTAACACAGAGTCATCTTTGCTTTTTTTGGAATTTAGGTTGTATATGTTATTGCAGTGTGACATGTTTGCTCTATAATACTAGAAAAACAGATGTCTGATGTTGTAAATAATCTTTTCTCTGAACACCAAAAGATGTATAAGGAAACTGAGTCTTGTTTGAAACTTACTGCAAATAATTACTAAGTGACTTTGCTTCATTCAAAAAAATATTCCTGGTACTGTGGTTTATGCCATCCTGTTAATTTGGTTCCTTTGCAATCCCCTAATGTTGCACTAATTAGCAGCTAACATATCTTCCCACTGATCAGTTATTTTTGTGAGGGGGAAATACCAAGTACTTTGTGTAGGAACTCTTTACATAGGTATTTTGCAGATTTCACAGAAAGGAGCAGTTCTCACCTCTTTGCCTGCACCCCTGTGGGATAGTATCGGGAGCAGGAGATCCCATCCCAAGCACAGTATGGATCTCGAGCGAGGCAGCAATCCGCACAGGCGGTGCCGTACATGTCACACTGGTGGAACTTCACTTGCGTGATGACCGACTCAGATCCAACGTAGAGCTGTTGCTGGAAAAAATACACCAAGTCTGATCAAATCTAGAAATTCCACTAAAACTTCTGTTACAATGGAGTTATTAGAAAATGTGAGCTTTATCGTTGCTTGCCAGTTGTGCATCCAGCCTGTGCCCTGAGGGAGGCAGAGTTACTCTGTAGGAAAATATCTGATTACAGAATAAGCTCTCCTGCGTGAAGACAGAGGAACAGAAAGGCAAAATGAACAAGTTTATTTTGGCATTTCCTCGCTTCTGAAGTTTCAGCTTTGTAAACTTTGTGTTTGAATAGGCAGGGGTTTAAATTTCTTCCTCAAGATAGTTTCCAATGCCTCCCTCTTTACATTTCTCTGTCACCTAACTAATCTGCAAAAAAAAAAAAACAAAAAAAACCCAAAAAACCAAAAAAAAACCAACTTGGCATGAAAGACTTTAAACACAGCAGTTCACATTTGCAAAAGTTATAAGCAACCTCGATTTTAAAATTACTCTTTAAAATTTAACTCTTGACGTGGCTACCTACAATATGGTCACATATACACATGCACAGTAGTGCTATGATTTGTATAATTCCCCAGTACACAGGAGATAACCAGATTTCTTTTTTTGTGGTGCTGTGCAGTTTTTCCTTACAAATTAACTGGTCACAACCTACTTCTTTAAAATTTATTTGTAGGGGGTTTGTTTTGTTTTGTTTTGTTTTGATTTCGGCATTCGTGTTAAGACTGTTTGAGTCTTCTGAGTTCACATAAATATCTTTTTCAAATCAAGTGAGAGATGATCAATCTGATTCATGAGTTGCTGGCATAATACATTCAGAAGAGAATAGTTTGATTGTACAGGGATTTGACAAAAAATCTTGTTGCTGGTGAATGCAAATAGAGTGAACACAAATATGCAGTATGCACTGCAATTGAAACTGCTTACGCATGGTTACCAGTCAGAAAAATTATTCCTAATGAACACTTAAGCTGTGCTTATCCTAATGGCCAAACTTAGTCCATAATTTCAAGCTTTCAAGTCCAAAAGTCCAAGCTTTCAAAATCTAATATTTTAAAATTCTTAAAGCTGGAAAATACAGGCAGCTCATTTAGTCTGGTTTGCCTATCAAAAAGCATGAAATTTAATACAGACAGTTCATTTTTATTCCTAATTACAACTCCTATATCTGTTTAGGTCACAAAAATTTTACTCTTAGACCTGCCAGAAGAGACTAGGAGAAGCTGGTAACAGCAATGCTTGAAGAATTTTTCAGCTGAGATAAACCAGATGATAGTAGCAGGAACTCAGTCTGACAGCTAGAATGAAGAAACCTGGGATCCTTGTTTGAGAGGAATTCTTTCTTGTCTGCAAAGGATGCATTGTGATTGTTCCAGAAGACATGAACAGTAATTTCAATGAGACATATGAGATGGGATTGTCTCTTTCATCTTTTAGCAGAGGTAAAAACTACTCCAAGCCTTGGTTCATCAGAGGAGGGTAAAAAGCATCCAATATCTAGCTAACCAAACATCAAAGAAGAAAATTCCTTCCCAGCCTTTGCAGATAACTAGCTCAACCCCAAAACGTGATACTTTATTGTACCACTGATTTAGTGAAGACTGGTTAGTGTTATAAGGGTATTGAGACTAAGCTAGCAAGGAAGTCTCTCCAGGCTCACAAAATCCAAGGTCAAAAGAGACCAGCCAAAATGCTCTACCAGAGAAGCTGCATAAGTTTTTTTCATGTAAACTCAACTAAGTTATACTTCTGCTTACAGATCTAATTTAAAGACAAAATAACTTGGTGCCAACCCTGTCCGACTTTGTGACAACGCTGTCCCTAACATGTATTTCAACATTAAATTGTCCTCAGTACCAGAAAACTGCATCCTATTTCAAGATTATGTACATTCAACAAACTGAACTTTGTTATTTAATCTTGATATTGCTTTGCCATCAGTGTTCAAGAATCCCTATACACATACACTAGGAAGCCACTTCACTGGGTAAAATTTTATGTCTGGTTATCCTGTTCTCTTTCAGTCTTTTCTCTGACATTTTGAAAAAGTTAAGCTACTTTTTCTTCTCACAAGAAGGTTTATTCTTCAACCGCTGGATTGCTTTGGTGGCTTTTTTAAAAATCTCTCCAGATTTTCCAAATACTACTTGAATTAGTGGAGTTATAAGCCCTCTTGGGAGCTGTATGTAATGGTGGAAGACTACTTCACTTTTGATACAGCATCTCCTTTTTACTCTTCCGACACAACCCTTTCATCATGACATTCCACTGAGAGCTAAAGGTAAGGCAAATATCTGAAATGACACTGAAGTCTTTCTCCAAGTAACCACTTTGTTGCAGTGTTAGACAATACGGAGCTGGTTTCACAGTCCATGGTAAAAAAAATAGATTGATCCAGGAAATAATTCAGAATACTGACACCCAAAATCCTTCTCTAAATCACCACCAAAGGAGTTTTTCTCTCTACATTACCTACAGAAAGAATGCAAGTTGACTGGACACCAAGACTAAAATTATTTTTTTTGTGCAGAGTTATACCTCCTATTAATGCAATTTTCATTCTTTGTTACTTGTGTTTCACTATGTTTGTGTGTGCCTATATTACATTGGATGTCTGAGGGCTATTAAGATACAACTGTTGTGGGATGTTTATAATGGCTCCATCCTGAGATGATACGATGATGTGGTTCAGCTATCTATGATATGGTACAGATGAGAATCTATCTAGAAGAGTAATAAATTGGGTGTTTCTATTAGCAGAAACTAGCAGAAACTCGAAAGGGAGTCAGATCCAAGCAGGTCTGCCTTTCATGGGCAACTGAATACGTGGGGGAGACAGCAAGGCTCCTATTGCATTGATATCCGTATGGTGCTGGTCAGTCTGCGCTTATCAGCAAGGAACTTTTCTGTGAGTTGCCATATCCACCAAACTAATCCGTAGCGTGATTACTATGCCAGTAACTCATGAAGCATTGCTTTGGTATGAATGATAGTGTGAACTAAGGAGATTTAGTACTAGAATTGAAAAATATAAATGCTTCATAAAGGATCAGAGCATATAAGCATAAGTTTCTATTACAAAAATATTACGTGTATCAGACCAGATCTCATTTTAGATGATGTACTTCCATCTGTCTGTCTATCTGTGTATCTATCTATACAGTTTATTGCTTCATTACATTTGAGCCACAATCTTCACATTTCAAATTTGTCAAATACTTACCCTTTTTGAAGATATTTCCATAGAAATAATAGGAACTGGCACCTAGAGAATATGAAATATTTCCTTGTTTAGAAAAAAAGAATATCTTTTTGCTATGAAAATATATTAGGTAAAATCGTGTTGATGTTTACTTATTATATTCAGCTTTGCTAGGTACTTTGACTTTAAGTTCTGATGCTGGAGAAAGAAATTGTGAGGAAATTGTGAGTTTCAGAAGTATTGCTTTAAAAGAGTTTATTTAAAAACAACCAGCCAACACTTAATTCAGGATTATTTGAGCCACAGGAACACTACAATTTCCCTGTCAAACATGCCATTAGCTCTTTCCACCACTGAATCTCTTTTGTCCTACTTGAGAGTGATAAGTGGAGTGTTTTTATAACAAAACATTCATTGAAGATAAGATAAAAATAGCAGGAATTCCTTCTTTTAACATTGTCCTCTCTGCCCTCTGCTCAGATTTCCTGGAGCAATGGCAAGACATAGCCCCTAATAGGTCTACTGAAAACCAACTTTTTCAAGAGGGGCAATTTCTCTGATTTTACCCCCAGGTAACAAGTCAGTAGTTACACTGCCTAAATGCAGGTACCAGATTTAAATATCTAAATTTGGATGTTAAATTTTTTGCTATGGTTACAAGTAGATTAGCCTCTTACTCTGTGTGGCTAACAGGACGTGATGTGAATACTCACTAAGAAAATATCACTATATTAGCTTTGCCACATACCAAGTACTGAGCTTTAGTCATGGGTTATTCTTAAACAGAATGCAGTTGTGCCTCACTAGGACTCAGGTTTGCCCACTGTAAAGACCGATTAACTGATTCACTCTTTCTAAGGATTGTTTATGTTTTTATCTGGACCTCATTTAAGCTTCCAAGAATGTAGTAGGCATCTTTTTTGTGCATGCACTTATATTCTTTTCAAATACTTAATCAGATACGATGGGAAATTAAATAAAATGCAATAAGTTTCTAATCAAAAGTCACACTACAACCTCCAACCTCCAACTACAACCTTTCTCCAGAAAGACAGTAGTCCTGGTTTGCTGCAATACACTTCAGTACTTGGGCTATAACTCCACATCAGAAAAAATTCAGTTGACAATTAAGATTTCCTGTCATAAAATAACTAGATCTTTAGAAAATTTCTTGCACACATCTATTATATATTTGACTGTCCTCAGATTTTTTTGACATTCTAAGTCTGCAGAGAATTCAAGACTGGTCTACATGGTTCATATACAGCGTGGTTCACCTTGAATACTTGCAACTCTTCAAGAATCACTTCTTCCATTGATTCTGTTTCTTGATTGTATATTGTAATGACTTTCAGCACAATTCCATTATCTGGGAATAAATTTTAAAAGAAAAAAAAAACCAAAAAGTAAATGCTAAAATTGGTGGACATGTTTAAATTTATACGGCCTTCAAATACATTAAATGACTTCTTCAGATTGATAATGGATACAAATTTATAAATATGTAGATGTAGTTGCTTATTGCTATTATTGGTAACAATTCTAACTCTTTGAAAATAAACATATATGAAAATTTGTCCCTGGAAAATTAGAGTCAACTGAGACATCCCTCAGCTATGTGATTAATTGACTTGTATTTTCAAACTCTGGGTCATAACCCCTCAGGATCAAAGAGGGCGACCATATTTCAGAAAAAGAAATAAGAGTAGGCTGAACCAGAGTCCATCAAGGCAAGGAAGTGTAAAGTAGCTTTAATTATAGGATCTGAGTGTTTACATTAGTTAGGAAACTGCTAACTATCCTTAATTACTGGCACCAGCTCTGTTCCTCCAGGCAAGAGTACAAAAACCTTCAGAGGTTCCTTCTCTGAAGTTCTTGTCCTCCTCTAGGGAAACACTGAGCTGCTGTTGAGCTGAAGGTGTTAATCGAAGGAAGACGAACCACGAAAAGGCTGCACATTCAAAGAGTCTAAACCACATTGGAGTTTAGGTTTATCAGCCTCCCTGTCACTACAACTCTTGCAGGAAATTAAAACACACAAGTAGCATCTAGTCTTCCACCACTTCAGCTTTTTCTTGCTATTATTAGAATAGTCTTGCTTTCCTTAATCTGAAAATCTGTCATCAACAATGGCAAATATCACTTCCTTTCTTCTCTTGCTTTCAGTCACCTTTGATTTACAGGGGAAATATCAAGCAGACAAGCACTGTGAAAAATGTTCTGCAAAAGATCAAAGGGGCAAACATAAAGAGGAACAGTTAAACTGGGGTCATACACCACTTCTCAAAGGGAATATGTAATCAAAGGCATCCATTTTGTGATGGAACAGTAAAAAGAAATTGCATTCTGAGCTCTGATTTTCTGAAGTCCCTCTACGAATCCTGCTGACAGACATGTGAAAGTTAGCCTGGTGTTCAGACTTCGCCTTTGATGAACCTTTCTAACCTACACTGCTACCCTAAGGAAACTTCTGCCCTCCTGTAAGACTCTGTTTACTTACATTACACAGCAGGTGTTGAACTTGGATAAAAAATTTAACCCTTTCTAACGTTAAATTGCCAAGAGAAACCGTGAGGTTTATGAGCAGAGATTGCAGGGTTCATTTCTAAAACCAAATTCCTATGCTGGAATTTCTTGCCACTTGAGATTAAACATCTCGAGAAAACTAAGCAGCTGTTGGGTGCCAGTCCAGCACGGCTCTGAAGCACACAGTTAAGTCCCCTTAGATTCAACTTTGCTGAACAGAAGACTTGTGTACAAGAGTATTTGATACAATATCTCAATCACAAACGCAAGTAGAAAATATGAAAAATCTAGGCATTGTTATAAAATCTGCTGTACAGAAATGACACATGGCACAATTTTTTATCCACCACATTAAGTCTAATGCCGAAACCGTATTGAGGCCATCTAAAAGCTTAGAAAACAGCACTAATATAAATGAGCCTTTGCTATTTTACAAACGTGCTTCTTTTGAATGTTCTCAACACTGAAATGTGCTTATCAGAGGAATTTCATTAGTAAAAAATAATTCACCGTAAATGCTTTCCTAGACAAAATGGTCAAAATTATTTCTGATAACACTCCTGTTGTTAAATTGATAAAATGTGAATGTATGAATCCTTGGATTTGTTCCGGACAGATAAGATGTGACTGAAATTTTGGCTAGTTCCAGGCCTTCCTCTTGGTTTCTTAAGTTTTCTTAAGTTTTCTTACTATTACAGTGTAGTTTTTTCCTCTGGTTGCTTAGAGTTAGGCCAGGTCTATGATACATTTTGCCTTAATCATATTTGTTTAGTAGATATTTAAAAATCCTCTTTAAACAAACTCTCTGTATCTTATGAAAATGGCACAAAAGAAAGACAAGAAAACTTGGCAAAAAACTTCTAACAGTTACTTTTTAAGAAACTTGAGTATTTCCTCCTTCCTTCCTTGAGCTGTGTTGCAACCCAAGTCTGGAAGCTGGCAGTTTCTTTTTAGTGGTATCAGCTAGACTTGTGGTCTCCAGAATTTGGGAAAATTAAGTGCAGAATAAAGCCAGTAACTTCAACTGATATTTTTGAAAATCATATCATTTGTGTTTCTCTCAAGTCTCTAAGTCTCAGCTCAGAACTGTGCTCAGATACATGGTAGTGCTCTGAAGTTTTAAAAATAAAGTCAGTTGTTCAGGAGTTCAATTTAAAGTTATTCTTTGGAAAGAATAAAAAAATGAATCCTGTACTTAAGTTTATTTTCCTAGTCTTTAAATGTTTCCTTACCATTATTTTTCTATCAGCAGAGTGAAGCATATGTCTACAATGACTAATCTCCTCTGTAAGGTGAAGAGTGGCACAGTAATGCAAAGAATGATAGCTAAAAAGGAACGTTGTATTGATTTTTATTTTCGAACTACACATAATTTAATTTCATTCATACTGGAGGTAAAAAAAACCCCTATTAAATCGTCTTCCTAGCTTTCTTTAATTTACCTGTACCAATGAACAAGACATCATATTGCCCATCTTCAGCCTCCACTCTGTCCACTGCTATTTGTTTAAGATTGTACTTTCCATCTGTTTTAACCAGTATTGGTCTCTTATGAACAGGCTTGATGGGCTGATACATCAGTGGATGACTCCTGGCAAAATGGACAGCTTCATCAGGATAGTCTTTAGTGGTGGTGTACAGACCGCCATTCACCTTGCTGGCACACTGCAGAAACACAAAACATAGATTGTCCTGAACGTTTTCCAAATAAATTGTCAGAGACAGGTCTTGTTTTTAGGTTTAATAACAAGTAATACAGAAAACCAGGCATAAAAACAGTCACAAACTACCACAGTAGGACTTGGGACAGTGAACTCTATGCTTTAAGCATGTGTGGATAACTTTATGCTTTGTGCGTGTGTGAGAAGCCAGGAAAGGGGATGCTGAACAGAGCCTTGGCATTGTCATGTTTAGAAAGAGAGAGCTCCTTCCCCTCTGGTGTACTAAATGCAGAATAAATAGTGACACTTTTAAATTTTGATGAAAACATAGTGCTTACATCTTCCCCAAATTCCTATTGAAGATGTAATCAAACTGGTCACTGACAGAGTTTGGAGAAAAGAGTTTCCTATCCCAGCAGAGACACAGCCATATAGAGTCAGCAGCATACTAATGCATGTAATTGATCTCTAGTCTTATAACTTTTAATTGTAAAATGTATTACCATAAGAAACTAAGCACACTTAAAAATGATGCCAGCAGCAACAGTAATTCTTGACCTCAGGCATTCTAACAGTATTGCATTTGATTCTAATTCCTAACTCACCGTGACAGTATTATATATCGCAGTTCAGCTTGAAATACCAATGTTTGCATTGATCAAGCTACTGTTTTGCAAGGCAAATAGGCTTTTTGTCAATGAGTGGGTAGAAGAGGCTTAATCCTTTTGTCAAATGTGCAGTTAGGGGTAATTTAATGCATTAAACAGAGAAGTTAATTTTAGGATGTTTTGTGAAGGATATACTGTTCCCTAACTGAACATAGATTCTACATTTCCAGTTTGCTTCATGATGTCTAATTGAAACCATTTATGATCAAGCTGGAAATAGTAACAGTTTACTTTCTCCAAATATTCATAAGACAGTGTAGCTTTAAGAAGAATTTCACGCAAAGCCACAGTAGCAGCCTTTCCCTATTTTAAACTGGATTTTTCAATCAATAAAATGAAATAAAATACTCTTTATGTTTACTAGAAACAGTGATTTTAAGCTTGTGGTCAACTGTAATTGACAATAACAAACTCCTGCACTTGTCAAATGGGGCAATGTTTGTTTCCACTCTTCAGGCTTAGCTACAGGAACATATTTTTTCAGTGTTGACTTTAAAGTAATTTTCTAATCAACCCAGTGATAGAATTTCACTGGCTGTTTGCAATAAAGAGACTGAGCTGGAGCATGAAGACAGGTTAAGCCTCTGCTTTCCATGCACTGCCCAACATATCAAGTGAATAGGCGTTGCCAGGTTGCCTTTGCAAAGTTCTAGCCCTGGAGAGACTTAATAAAAATAATCCTTCACAGGCTTTTCATTTTTAATTAAATAAAATCAAGTAGTCTAAAAAGGAAACAGTAGATGCAGCTGTCTCTGAAGTCTATCAACACCATTTTTGAGGTAACTGATGTCATTCCAGAAGCATCATAGTCTAAATGCACTAAAAGAATCAGCAAAACAGGAGCAGAGACTGTGGCAGAAGCAGTGCTTCCAGCAGACTTCAGAGAGCGGCGGATTGCAGACTGTCAGAGCCTGTGCCACTCTTAGCAGTGGCTTTCTGTTTCTTTAGCTTTAGCTCCACTCTCATTCCTTATAGACCCCATCTTTATGCATTCAATAGCTAAGATCAAAGAGTGCTGACTCTCAGAGATACTTAACAGTAGGTGTTTTTTGGCCTCTTGGCACTATCGCTCCTGTAATGGGAAAGGCAGTGGAACTCAGTTTACCAACATGCTGTCCTTTTCTTTGGAATGTGAAACCTAACCCTGCGGGTACACCTGAAACATGCTTTCTCCTCATGCTACTGGAAAAGCATTGAAAAGACCTCTGAACTGTGCCCCAAATGAGCAGTCAAAAACGTATCAATTAATCCTCTGTTAGCCATCAGAGCCAGCACCTTCAGACTCAGATGTGCTCTGCAACATATAGAGATAAACGTGATTAAATCGATTAACACCCAGGAAAGACTTGGTTCCCTGACTAATTTGTTCCATGACATTGTGAACATTAGTTGCTCTCTTCTTGTATATTTGTTTCAGCTCCTATGCGTTGCCTGTTGGGAAGGCTACAATCCAGTCTGACCCAAATGTGGCCATTTAGAGCCAAGGGAGAGAAGCACCGAAAGCAAGAGGAGCTTAGGGCAGCCTTTCTATAAGTCATTGTCAACTTTGCTGAAGCACTGGCTCAGTGTTCTCTCCTTCTTGCCAAAAAACCACCATTTAATCTTCAGTGCTAGGAGATATCAGTGTAATGACTGTAGTCATTAATACTGAATGCCTGCCTGTATTTAATGCTAGTTCAGATAACATATTTGAGGTGTTCTACTGTCTGGAAAAAAACTTAATACCACTTAAAGAACTTGGACCATATAATCTTTGTGAAATATACAGCCATTCTGCAGTCCATGGTACTGGCATGCATGGCACTGTCTCATCATTTGTTGAAACTGTAAAAACTGTAAATTTGCTATGCAAAATGTCAAAATAGAAACTAATTATTCCTTTGAATTCAACTGTTTTGCTCAAAAATTTGATAATTTACTTATCTGTTTTCCTATCCTGACTCAATACCACTGACTTACTTTGGTCCACATCAAACAAACAAGAAAAAAATTTGGTATTGATGTCAGCACTGCTGCAGTAGTAGCTTATTGGCCAAGATGGTCAAATCATATTAATAATGTTTAATTCCCAGATAATCTCTTTTTTGGAGCATCCACTTGTGCATTTTGACTTATGTCTCTAACCCCAAGAGAAGCAGAGGAAAACATTAATTTAAAATGAGAGAGGACATGCATTCGAAATCATACTACAAGGAGAAGGGCTGTACTGGCATGGACTAGATAAGCTAAAAGGCCTTTTCACCTCTTATTCCTGCGATTCGGTGATAAATGAATTTTATGCAATGTTTACTTCTGCAAATGCTTGGTTTTAGTATAAAAGAGAATATTGATTCAGTCAGCAAAGGAAAAACAATACTGAAAGTAATGTTCCACTGTTAAACTCAAGACATTGAGCCCCTAACCTGCAAGAAGATAAAGAGGTGAAGTGTGAAAACTGGGTGGGGGGGTTAGTCAAACAGCTATTGCAGATGTCTTTGCATCTCAGAGCCAAAAATCTGCACAAGGCTGGCGTGATAAGGGGGAAAACTTCAGTGGGCGTAAACAAAAGCAGCTTTGCAACAGAGGACATTGCTGTGGGCGCGTAAGCAGTTGTGTTCCCAAAAGGCACTGGGAGAAGAAGAAATCCTGGATATGATGTTTCTCTGAGTGAACTTGGCATTGCCTGCTGTGGGACTCCTCCTGAACTGCAGCAGGAAGGGGAAGGTGAGGGAGGCCCTGGTTGTGTATCTTCTGTGAGATGCTGAGGGGCCCCTGCAGAGCAAAGGGCACCCTCAGTCCCCACCAACAGGCCGGGAATGTGGGACCCCTCTGCCCACCCCTGAGATGGGGTGTGAGAGACCCCCACTCAGACACCACAGGGATAGAAACTTCAGAAATATCTAAAAAAGAGATTGAAACAGGAAAAGAGTTTGAGATGAAGATTACATGTGATGCCTTGAGAAATCAACATAGAAATTACAAATTCCTTGTAGAAATTAATTAGCTGTCTCCAAGTAATGCTTTTGTGATTTCCTCCAGAATTTCTGTTTACCAAATCTAAGTGCCAGGCAGGAACAACTCTAAATGACAACACCGATGAAGAAAAAGAACCAGAACCACCTGATCTTGAAATAGTGGATCAACTTTTTTTTTTTTTTTCTTCCTTTAACAGTTGTTAAATGCCCCTGTATCAGCAACCAATAGAAGAAAAGTGAATTGCCTCATGTAAGCATATTTTTTTAAAATATTTTTTTTAATGTAAGTATAGGTGCATGTTTCTAGTTCATCCTGGCTTTATTTTCTCAAGTCAAGACATCAGGGCCAATTCATTCAGCAGAAAGTTCCATTAGGAAAAAATATTCAAATATATGTATCCTGGATTGTGAGGTCAGGAAGATTTGTACGTTAGCAGCATCTACTTTTTCTTCCCGAATTCAATTACATAACAAAGCAGTGTAAAATAGATTGTACTTACTGAACCAGGTCTAGGATAAGGTACTTTTCCTTCGTATAGAGCCCAGTGGTACTCAGGTCCTTCTTTATGAGCATATGGTCCGTTGAAAGCTGCTCGGACACTTGCCATGTGGTAAACACATATAGCATATCCTCTAAATATATTGCTGCGAAGTAAAATTCAAAGACATTATTAAAGCATTATGTCACGTTCTGTACATACACTACTTGCATTATTGTGTAATTTAAAATAAGTCACATTTCAACAGTATTCAGGGAGAAAGAACTACTTATTGTTTCCTATATGATTTTGTTATAACTGCTATGTCCAATGTTCTTTACAAAGTCTTTAATGTATTCATATTTATAACATTTCTCTGAGGAAGATCAGTGCTGTTATCCCAAAATTTGAATGTGGTTAACACAGGCTCTAAATTACTTATTTATAAACACAGAGAAAACACAGTAAATGGAACTCAGGTCTTATATATCTTTAATTAGTGACTTAAACAGTTAACCATTTTTCTTCTCTAAGATTCTTCCTGTTGATGTCACTTTGGAAAGACAGGAATCATCCAAAGCTAACTGAAAAAAAAAAAAATTCTTTTTATATTGAGTGGGAATGTTGGTTGGTGTTATTAATTAAATCGTCAAGATCACTCTATGTAGATCAATCCACATAAAAGTATTTTTTTTTACTTTTAAATTTTACACACTTAGTTCTGCAGAAGCAATTAATTATTTTTTAAAGAATCATAAGTGCTCTCTACAAATAAATTTTCTGTGAAGACTCCAGAAGGTGATCCAGACCATTTTAACTTGGTGCCCACCTTTCTCTACTGGCATAGGGAGCCAGTAGGAAGTGCTAGGTGCCTGCTTCCTCAGAGGGCCAGACCTGCCTTCTTTATTCCAAAAAAATGAATCAGGAGAGTGAATTAGTGGCAAAAGCACTGTTGCTATTCTCTACCAATTACATCCTAAACTAACATCTGGATCTCCAAGAAAGAGGTACTGCATGCTCGCACCTGAAGCAGGCTGCTGTGGAAAAGTAGGCCACCAGCAACATCACAGGTGGTGTTTTGGGCTTCACTGAGAAGTTAGTAGGAATTTAAGCTGCTATCTGCTTAAACTCAAATTACAGTGGAGCTCACAACGGAAGAGAGGTGGCTCTGATAGGTGGCTGCTCTTATAAGCATGCAGGAGTGCATATGCTGTGGCACTAGGAAATTTTCAAGAAGAGAAACATTTAATTAATTTATGATCCAGATAAAACACATGTGAATAAAACTTCAAGCCCCTGAGTGTCATAGAGCAGTTTTTACATTAACAAGGAAGCTCACTCTGAACAGAGCAGGGATTAAACTGTTTACCATGTATTTGGTAAGGGATATTTATCATGCAGCTTCTATCTCTTCAATAGGCTGTTCAAACATTGCTCTATTGCTGCTGTTATTTCCTCTAGTTGTTTACCTTGTAGTGCTGAAGAGGCCAAATATCACCGGATTTTTGTTATCACGAGTTTGCAGCAAAAACACATCCTCTGTAAAATTTAAATGCAATGTTATTGGTAGCAAACTACTTTTCTCGGCCCCAAAAGGGAAACTTCATTGCTTGTTAAAGGTGTAATCTTATTTTACTCATATATATGCTATTTAATTTTGTGCAGATTTTAAAAGCAATTTTTTCAACCCATGCAATACCTAAAGGCATAATTAATGATAGTCAGCTATGTATGTATAGAACTTCATATGTATTGGAAAAAAAACACTAACAACCATTCCCTGTTAACAAATACAAGTGCAATATTTGACAGTAAGATGTGCTATCAGGAAACTGTATGTTTTATACGATCGTTTTGAGTTTGTTGCAGTCTAGGATGTTTACCTAATTCATCAAAATGCGTATCAATTCCGTTTCTTCCAGGCACAGAGCAAACCAGCCTGGTTTTGAGGAAAGTGGTCCATTTATTCACAAGCATTCGCTGGCCTCCCATATCATTCTGCATAGGAAAAAAAAAAATGCTGTCGGTAATTTGAATAAGTCTAGAAGCACAAACATCTCCACTGAATTAGCTGCTCATTATGTCTTTCAATGTCAAAAGTGTGCATTTTCAAACCACATGTCTATTACTAGTATTATTTCTCTGGAGTCCATTTTCAAGTAGGATTGCGCTGATCAACTCCAGGTCTCATTAAGAGCTGTGGGTTTATAAGAATTTTTAAATTCTCTACTGCATTCATGGATAGTTTTAACGATACAGCTGTTGTGAAGCTTTTTCATTTCTCATTTTTGTTAACTGGATGTACTGAGTACATTAACAAAGTTTTGCTTTAGGAGCTCAGTACAGGGTTAGATCAACACAGTTGGAAATTGAAGCCCTGAATCTACCCATAGAGCTGGTATAGCTGTGACAATTCTGAGGCAAGTGTCTACATGGCATTCTAACAATTTCTCAACAACTTTAAATAATTTCTGCTTTGCTATGGCTGTCTCATAATTTTTCTTGCCATTCTGACTGTCAGACTGTCAAGCAAAGGGGGCATTTAGAACTACTTAGCAATCAGATTCTGTAATCTTTGGGTAGGACTTATATTCAGGTAGCTGATGAAGGCTCTGTATTAGGCTTGCAAAACTTGCAAAACTTGCTGCAAAACTCTTCAGACAACTTCACTCTAAACTACTGAAATCAGTTTATTTCCTCAGCTTCACAGTGAGAAACAGAGATCTGTTTTCCTCACAAAAACAGAAATGCAGAGAGTAGGTGCCTCTGTGTTGCAAAAACCTGTTACAGCTCATGAAAACGTAAAAGCTGGAAAAAAAGCACCAGTTCTTGAATTACCAGCTAGCTATTTTTTGTATTCATTAAATCATTAAATCAAACTTGAATTATAACATACAGCTGTGAAGTTAATGTTAAAGGATTTGGAGTTTTGGACAAATGGAAGAGAAAGGTCTGTGGGATTTTGGTTTAACCCATGTTTAGAGATAAGACATTCAAGTGGATGTATTTCAGACTACAGGGAATTGTTAAAATAATCTGTTTGGACATCTACCAGATCATAGGCCAAAGAATTCTACTTCAGATCTTGATGCAGACTTGAATTCAGAAAGCCAACCGGCTTTGTGAACATTAATGTCTCAGGCTGCAGTTTGATACTTTGCATGCTTCAGATGTTTGAAGTTATACACAAGTACTCCTTAAGAAATTTTAATAGGTAGTATGCTGGTGAGCATATGTGACATATACTATACATTGAGGTGACAGAAGATTTTTGAGTTGCATTTGGACTCTTTGTCCAATAGTTTTGGGAATGTATCTCCTACAGTTAGGAGGGAAGAATGCATTTTTTTTTTCAGAAGAAAAATCAGATGCTAAGAAATAAACTTTTAATTCCTTCCTTTAATCTAGCAGATGTAGTTCCAATGGGAATAGGAGAGTTCCTCTCACCAGCCTTACCATAGGTCAATTAATAGAAAAGGAATGCACCCAAACTTCATTCATCAGTTGTTCACAGAGGACCAACTAAGGGCAGCTTAATCTGGGAGATAATATGTTAATAGTGCTCCTTTCCAGTAACAGCCCAAGATCTCCTTCCTGTGTGGGGGGCCAGGAAGACAAAAAGAGATGGGATCAACACAACGGGAAAGTGGCCTGAGTGGGAAATGGATAATCATGCAGGGTAGTGGAGGGAAGTCGGGTCTTTCCTTGTGACTTTTCTGTTCCTTCCAGTAAACCTTATGCCTGACTGCAATAATAATTTGCTGGACAATTCAATCCTTTTCTCTAGTTTCCTATCTGCATAGTTTTCCTTAGTTGCTGTTGAAAAGAAGAGGAATGAGAGATGAAATGAAAACATCAATGAAAGCATGAGGAATATGGAGAAATTGTCTAGGCAGCCGGGGGTCGGGTTAGGAAAGCTAAAGCCCTCATAGAACTAAATCTAGCCAGGGACATCTGTAGGTATATTGGTGATAAAAGGAGACTACAGAAAACATGGGCCATCTCCAGAAGGAAACAGGAAGACCTGGTTACCCCAGATATGGAGTAGGCTTGAGATACTCAGTGACATTTTTGCCTCAGTCTTCACTGGCAAGTGCTCCAGCCACACTGCCCAAGGCAAAAGCAGGGACTGGGAGAATGAAGAAAGGAGGTGATTCTTCCCCTCTACTCTGCTCTCGTGAGACACTACCTTGAATCTTACATCCAGTTCTGGAGTCCTCAGCACAGGGAGGACATTGAGCTGTTGGACCGAGTCCAGAGAAGGGTCATGAAGATGATCACAGGGCTGGAGCACCTCCCCTATGAGGACAGGCTGAGAGAGTTGGGGTTGTTCAGCCTGGAGAAGAGAAGGCTCCGGGGAGACCTTAGAGCAGCTTCCAGTGCTGAAAGGGGGCTACAGGAGAGATGGGGAGGGACTCTTGATCAGGGGGTGTAGTGATAGGACAAGGGGTAATGAATTTAAGCTGAAAGAAGGTAAATTTAGATTAGATATTAGGAAGAAATTTTTTTCCTGTGAGGGTGGTGAGGCACTGGAAGAAGTTGCCCAGAGAAGCTGTGGATGCTCCAGCCCTGGGGGTGTTTAAGGCCAGGCTGGATGAGCAACCTGGTCTAGTGAAAAGTGTCCCTGCCCGCACCGGGGGGGTTGGATCTTGATGATCTTTGAGGTCCCTTCCAACCCAAACCATTCTATGATTAGTTAACTATTAATGGTATCCAGTGACAGGACATGTGGGAATTGTTCAAAGCTGTGCCAGGGGGACAGGAAGCATTTCTTTAATGAGAGGATGGTCAAACACTGGAATAGGCTTCCTAGAGAGGTGGTCAATGCTCCAAGCCTGTCAGTGTTTAAGAGGCATTTGGACAGTGACCTTAACAACATGCTTTAACTTTTGGTTAGCCTTGAATTGGTCAGGCAGTTGGACTAGATGACCCTTGAAGGTCCCTTCCAACTGAAATAGTCTATTCTAGTCCATTATTCTTTACTACCATTTACAAAGCACTCTATGGATGGTTGACATTGCACCCCTTCTATTGTTCACGCATCAGAAAGAGGTTTTCAAAATTTACAGAATCACAGAATAATTCAATTTGGCAGGGACCTTTGGAGATCATCTAGTCCAACTGCCCTGCTCAAAGTAAGTTGCTTTGAGCAAGTTGCTCAGCAAATTGCTCAAGCTCATGTCCAGTCAGTTTTTTAATATCTCCTAGTATGGAGACTCCAGGCAACTTGTGTCAGTGTTCAACCACCCTGGCAGTAAAAAAAAAAAAGTTTCCTTACATTTGGATGGAATTTAATGTGTTTTAATCTGTGCCCATTGCCTCTTGTCCTTTCCAGCTGGCTGCAAAAGACAGGTGTCTGATGAGATAGGCATTGACCCTGCAGACATACAGGTGACCTAAGCCTGCTTCTTGCTGATAGATTAGGAAGTCGAGAGGACTGGTAGCTGTGCTGTTCCTGTCACCAGCAATGCGAGGGGCGACCAATTTATGTCACCTGTGAGAGCTGCAAAAAGCCCTGGACCTGAGCCTTGATCTGAATTGAAAATATGGATGATAAATGAGTCCTGTGGGCAACTGCTATGACGGCTACCACATATCAGTACAAAGAGAGATGAACTGAATAACAAGATTTCTGAACTTTCCTCTCCTCTCTCAGCAGAATTCATCTTCAAGCCCAGATTTTGGATCATTTTTGAATTTTCTAATGCGGTTTTCATTCAGACCTGTAACTTACTCTCACATACATTAACAGATGCTCTATTTGCCTGGGGGAGAAGGACCAATGAAAAAGCATGGTTTTTTGGTTTTTTTTTTTTTTTTTTTTTTTTATTTAACTGGGGAATCAGAAACATTATCTTACCGCACATACACGTCCCACTCTGGTATAAATGGCATGAGTGCTTGTCTCGGACTCTAATGCTTTTTCAGTAAAGAAGAAATATACTTTGTTATCTTCATGGTCTTCATTGTCAGGAATCATGTATGAGCCAACAAATTTTGGTTCTTCAAAAGAAAGCAAAAATGGATGAAGTCAAGTTTATTAAAACATTCTCTTGTTATTTCAACCCTTAAAATCAGCTGGTAGCAATGAAAAAAATTAAATTAAAGAATCAGGGATCTGTCAGTCAGAGAGCTACCTAAGGGGAATAGGGTGATAGAAATAGGATTTTTTTTATTTTTATTTTTTTTTTTTTTTGTGACTGGTAGTCTATAGAACATGTGGAATATATTAATGTCAAACTATTTTTATAGCTTCAGTTCACAAATCAATATTCCTTTGTATGTGTACAAGAAAACACCTTTTCCCTGTCCCATTCTCTGGGGTTCGTATATTTTAATTTGGATTAGACTAAAACCTTGCACTTATGTTTACATAACAATATCTGATGCTATACAAACCAGGTGCAGGAATGTCAACTTCAGACAAAGAGCCTTTTAGATAAAGAAAAAGCTCTGGTAGTTTAGCTTATAGGTGCTATATGAACACGTACTTTCGTAGATAGAAGATGCATTGTCTATCTTTGTCATGAAATAAAAACCTTCTAAATTTTTCCTGTTTTGACATTTAGCTGTAAAGTTGAAACCTGAGTTCAGACTTCAGTCCATGCCTGTATAGTTTTTAACCCCACACCAAGCAGAACTGTGAATGATTTAATCTCACTGAATTGTAGTGAAGTTTTTACAAGTTCTTTAAATGAGAATGTAATTCATACAATTAACACGATTTCTTAAGAAGCAGCGGGTAGTGCAAATAGTTTCTAACTTCCTGCTCTCTGTGAAAACAGTCATTGCATTTCAAGACATTGATACAGCACTTACCAATTTTCTGAAGTTTTTTTAATATCAAATTTAAAATATTATCTTAATATAAATTTAAATTTCGAGCACAGAAAAAACAAAAATAAAGTATGAGGCCATAATTTAGAGAATTCTATATTTAAAATAATTAAATCTTCCAGAGAGAAGAGAAACTTCACTTGCATATTGTGAACACCTGATTGTCGCTGCCCATATATAACCAGTACAAACACTCTGTTCAGCAACACTCTAAATGTTGGACTTAAAGAATATGTAAGAATGTTCTAAACATTGTTTAAAAAAAAAAAAATAATTCAAGTCTGTGGTCAGATTTGTGTAGGAAGACATATGCAGCAGAACTATTTACTTTTTTTTTTTTTTCTGATTCAGGCGAAAACTGCCTTGAAATTCGAGACAAAAAAAAAAACCTTCTACATCTTTTCACTGGTAAAATCATGCTCACCATGAATTGTCATAAAAGGCAATTATTAACTCTCCTTGACAAACATTAGCCCTAATTGTGTTACTGTTATGATGAAATGTTGCAATACTTTTGGAGCATAACAAATCAAGATTCTGACTCTTAATTTCAAAGAAATATCAACACTGAAATTCATTTACATTTTACATTGAAGAGTATTAAACTATTTCTAAATTTCACAGCACATGATTTTCTCTCAGTATTCTTCTTGTGCAATGTTTTAATTTTCTTCTTTAAAATTATGTACTCTAACTTTTAATTTCATTTAACTGTATGATCATCATATATTTTTTATTTTGCACTATTGCATTATATCTCTTTGCTACACAACTTGGCAAACATTGAGTTGTTTTACTGCAACATAAAAACAAAATCATGTCATCTAGAAAAAAAGAGTACTGCATTCTAATTAGAAGCTCCTATTAATTAAATAAAGAATTCTAAAATATTGTTTTATTATACCTGCCGTATAATTAAATAGTACAGAATACCCAGAGTATAAATTAAAATCCAGAGTATAAACTAAATTAAAAGCAATACTGAAAGTAAAAAATAAAGGATTTAAAAGTTCCCCATGTAAAATCCAATGTGTAACTGAAGTGAAGATTTCAATTTGTTCATCCTGGCAGGGAGTTAATGAAAAATTTCATCCAAAAAAAAAAAAAATCAGTTTAAACAAAATCATCTCCAAATGGATATACCTATGCAAGTACAATATCACTTCAATTTCTGGTCAAAGAGAAGTTCTCTGGCTATCCAAAACACCTCTGATTCCATGTTCTTCCTTCTCCTCCTTCCCATACCTTTCAACAGGCGCTCACTATCAGGTTCAGTTCGGAGATGTGCCATGCGATTCATGGTGCGAAACAGACCAGCATCTCTTCCCCAGTAGTCACTGTAGAGACCAGTAAAAAGTTCACCACCTACAGATCATATATTAAAAAAAACAAAAACAAAAACAAAACAAAATGATTTGATAATTCTCTATTTATTAATTTCATTAGGTAAGGAAAGAACTGCTTTATAAACATGGCTCCTTAGTATCTGTTCAAATTCAGGTAAGAAGGCAAGTCGGTAAGTTATATACAATTTAAAGAGCAAATGGGCATTCTCCCTACCAGTAACTGCAACATTTACAGTTGGAACCACATGACAACGAAGAATTTTAAATTTCATGCGTGGGCTTGGCCTCATTTTCAAAACTGACTGACTTTGGAATAGATTCACACAAAAAACATGAACACATTATATTAACATCTAACCACATCTGCCACAATAACATCTGCCACATCAGGCACTTAAGTTCAAAGATCTCACTGCCATTCAGTTAGTGCCTACTCCCACTTGGGCCCCCACGACAGCAACCAAAAAGGACGGTCATAGTTTTACCCTGGCTGGCAGCAAAACAACCACCACTCTCTCATCCTCCCCTCTCCCGGGGACTGGGGAGACAATTAAAGGGGTAAAAGGAAAAGAGACTTGTGTGTTGAGATAGGAACAATTTAATAACTGAACTACAGTAGAATTGAAAATAATACTCATAATAATAATAATAATGATAATAATAGAATCATAGAATCATTAAGGCTGGAAAAGACCTCAGGGATCACCAAGTCCCACTGTCAACCCAACACATCCAACCCACTAAACTGTGTCCATAAACTCCACATCTACACTTGAACACCTCCAGGGA